TTGCTTGAATTAGAAGTGCTCTGTTTTTGCCCTGTTCTCAGATCCTGGACAGCCCTGCGGATGTGGCAGACAAAGCAGATCGCATCGTCACAATGCTTCCCTCCAGCCCCAACGTTATAGATGTGTATACAGGCCCAAATGGCATCCTGAAGTAAGGATGTCCTTCCTGTACAGGCTAAATAGTCTTTAAGATTTTCACAAAACACAGCATTTGAACATAAGTTTAATTAGCAAACTTAATTTGAGAGGTTTTAATAAAAGATTAAGTGGAATTTTGGCTAATTTAATTGTGGTGGGAAATGTTTAAAAATTTTTTAAAGACACATGTACCCTGTACTGGACAGATCTTGTATACTGATATCTTTACTTTACAACAGGAGAGTGAAGAAGGGATCCCTACTCATTGATTCCAGCACTATTGATCCAGCTGTCTCCAAGGAAATGGCAGTTGCCGCAGAGAAACTGGGAGCTGTTTTCATGGATGCCCCAGTGTCTGGAGGTGAGATGATGACGAACTCTCACTTCCTACCCAACTCAATATCAAGGGAAGACATACAGGTGCATCTCAATATTCTAATTTGTTGAGATAGTGAATTGGTGGGTTTTTGTTAAATGTGAGCCAAAATCATCACAATTAAAAGAACCAAAGACTTAAACTACTTCAGTCTGTGTGCATTGAATTTATTTAATAGACGAGTTTCACAATTTGAGTTGAATTACTGAAATAAATGAACTTTTCCATGACATTCTAATTTATTGAGATGCACCTGTAGATGCGGTTACTTGCGTAGTATGTCATAAACGTGATCTGAATCCTGACTGCACACAAACCGCATATGTAAGTGCTGACAGTGTTTATTAGTGCATGATTTAAAGGTTTCATAAATCACACACCCAACGTCTGTTACGAAACGAGTCACCGTCTGGGAAGAGGTACAAATTTCTTAAAGAATCTTTGGCTCCAATTCAAGCATTGTGGTTTTCGCAATCACAGGTTCATGTTAATAGTGGAATTCAGTTTCACATTGATGTCCAGGCCTGATCATAACCATCGTCTGGCTTTTATTTTTCCTTGCTGTATCAAGCAAACAACAACACTGTTATGTGGCAATAGTGTAGTTTGGTAAAGATATATATACAACAAAACCCATGCATTTTCAACAATCTGAAGGTTAGCAAAGTCAAACTTCAGGACACACCAAGAGTTTTATTCTTTCTGTCCTTTGTTTCAGTTTGCAATGGGTGATTTGCAGGTTTGTTGATAGGAAAGAGTTTTATAGCCTACCTTATTTTGTCCATTTTCTTAATCCGGCCATTGGTGTGTGGACTCTTTGAGTTATAGACTAACTCAAAAGCTAGCATCTGGGAATTGAGCCTGTGACCTCAACTTATGGTGGAAATGGAGACAAGTGCTGAAAATCAGTGACAATGCCGTAATTTCTCATGTATCCCTTCTTTTAGAAACCTATATACTGTATAGGATAAGGCTGTGGCAGAAATAGCTGAGGTCTAGATTTTGAACAAACAAATATTAAGACAAAATGTCACCTTCTGTTTTTTTCAGCCTTTTCTGACCGTGTCGTTTGTTTGTATTTGTTTATGCTTGTATTTCTGACCTGGCATGGGAGGATAGACTCTAGTTGTTCCACAAATGGCATACAATATACTGTACAGTTTTACTATGTATTATATTGAATAGTATATGAATTTTATAAGGTTAGTTTGTCAACCAGCATATCTATGACTGAAGTCTCCAACATCCCACACCACATTTTGTTCGGTCAAATATTTTTTTCTGAAAGTGCATCTAGTATTTGAAGTGCAGTACCTGGAATTTTCAGTCTGAACACCCTACTCACACTATTTGTACAATAAAATGGTATAGAATAGTGTGCAAATTGGGATGTCTGAATCTCTGCAGAGGTACATTCATTAGTATCAAATATAAGATAACTTCAGTGTGAATAATTTCATGTGCAAACAAAGGTTTTGTCCTATATCATTACCAAGACATGTAGACTGAGACTTGCAAAGGGTAGCGGTTTTGCTTAAATTCTGGGAGAAGTGAAAGGAACTGGACAGAGAATGATTCATGGCCTTATAGCTTTATTTCTGTCCACCTTGCAGCCTAATACGACCTACTTTTTTTTTGAGTGTCTCTGATGTGTCTTAAAAACTAGTCTAGTAGGTTAACTTCAGATTTATGCATTTGCTTTTTTCTCCACTGCACTGAATTAAAGGTATCCACTTCTGTACACTCAGCCTGGCTGAGTGTACAGTATTAAACTGTGCAGTATTAAGAAAGAACTGTTCCTTCTGTTGTTATACAGTGTTGCTTCCACAGTTCATTGTCATTGATTTGACTGATCATACATGCACAAGTAGTTCATCTTTTTTTTTTTTTTTCCTCTTGTGACTTCATATTGTTGATGTCAGATTCACTAGCAGTGATTAGTATCAAAACTGCAGACTTTCAACTGGGTAAAGCTTGGACCTCCACCAGTTTTGTAAAGCTTTGGTCATTTTATGAATTGGATGCTTACACATTAATCTTATTCAACCAATATTTTCTTCCATTTAATGCAGCAGGTCACAGCCATTTTGATTCCAACACATTGTCCAATATTCAACAATATTCCAAGGCTGCATTATTTTGCCAGTTGTTCGATTATTATTATTTTTAGATTATCATTAAGGATAAAAAAATATTTACTTTTTTTATCCATTTAAGTTTCTACACAATAAAATATTTTGGAATAAACAGAAAAAAAATTATATTTATAACGTATGTGAAACCATGATCCGCACTCGCAAAAATAGTCTTCTTTTGACATCTTATTTTATACATTTAACACCAGCGGGACAAAACAGAAATGTTTCGGCTCAAGGCCTTCTTCAGTGCGTTGAATAATTCAGTCCCTCCACCCACCTTTTTAAATCATTAATTATATTGACATCATCACTCATCTGCAAAATTAGCAAATGTTATATTTATTTATAACATATGCCCATGGATTTTATTATATTACATGACTTTTCCAGGTTTAGAAATAACACTTCAAAATTAGGCTACCTTACATGTTTTTAGACCATGGGAACCATGGTTCTTCAAAGAAAAATGGGTGCATTTAAAACAAGAGTTTTCATATATTTGATTGATTGGGTAATGCTTGTTTTGTCTATGCTGAGGCCCCCTGGTTCAGAACCAGTGATTAAATGGGGTTATATCAGAATTGATCAAATAATCCTTAATCTTTTAGGATAAACTCTGTGTGTAATGTCTCCCACTCTCCATATCTCTCCAAAGGATCACAGTGGTAGGAAAGGGTGGCTAGAGTTTCTTCCCGGTTTCCCTGATGATTCAGTATTGAAGGATGGGGGCGTTAAGAACAATTTGACATGACTACAGACCCGAAAACGTTTGAGCAGATCCTGAGAAAGGCACTGTTGCTTGTGTCTTAAAGGCGCAGCAGCAAAACCGAACTGTGTAAGGCTCAGAGAAAGTGAGCAAAACGCTCATGGAAAACTAAAATATGGCTCTCTTTGGCATGCAAATATGTGTGTGTGTGTGTGTGTGTGTGTGTGTGTGT